GCTTGACTGTTGGGGAAGTGGGGGAGAAAGAAACTTGATGTGCCATAGATCTGTTGATAGCTGTCTGAAGGGGCTGTTTGGTGCAGCGTGATGCCCTGTGTCATACAAGGATAGAGCCACTTTACAGAAATTAAGGTGACAGGTTAACAGCTGCTGCTTCCAACTGAGCACCCGACAGGTATGTCAGAGCTTGTTCTCGGAGAGAGCTCAGGTTGTGTGTAAAAGATATATCAGTTGACAGTCTACAGTGATGAGGATGATTGTCAACATGCATCTTTTTTCTTCATTTTGGCTTTCCACCCACTAAAGAACACCAAAGATGTAGATCTCAGCTCACCATTAGAGCTATGTGAAGAAAAAAAAACTCTTGTAAAGTGGAAACGCAAAAACAGCTATTTGAAATTTCATCGCTGCTTTTGACATACATGCACTTCAAACAAAGCAGATTCAATATAAAGTTTTACAGATGCTGGCAGGCAGATTGCTTCACCTTTTGACAAAGCCAGGCTGCCCGTTTCCACCAGTATACAGTCTTTATGCTAAGCTACGCTAACTGGCTGTAGCTTCATATACACCATACAGACATGAAACTGGTACCTTTACCACCTCTGCCCCCATTTCAGTGGTGAAATATTTCAACTTTAGCCTTCAGCACCAACATGTTAAAAATTGTCCTTTGAGAAAAGTCAGCGTTAGACTTGGAGATGTGAGTTCCCCCCTGGAGTTTGCTCTTAAAATGAGTTTGCTTAATTGAATTCGCTTGAGTTCACTTCAATGTTTCTTAGTAATTATTTCCTGGCAATGACTAGTCCTGACAGGAAGTAGAGCATGTAGAGCATAATGTGCACACTGATATGAACACTCATCTAGAATGAAATAATGAAATGAAAAAGAGAAACTTCTGAAAATGAAATTACAGCTCCATGTTCTCTGCCAGCATTTAGCTCAGGCACCAGGTGTGTGACAGAAGAAATGACGGCTAGCAAAATTTTAAAGGTAGAAAAACAAATCTCAACAGCTCAAGCTATGCTGACTGTGTGTGGATGCTCTCAGAGAAAAACATAAAAGAGAATAAGAATAACCTAGTTGACAAATAAAAAGCATGGCAGTATTCTTCAAGACGTGACTCATAAATATTTATACCTTTCATACGGTAACCTTTGCAGACATCCCAACAGTGTTTAGGGAAGTAAACATCTACAGCAAACCTCTAAGATTTGCAGCATTGAAACGCAGTTTGAATCTACTCATTTTTATTTTCGGGTCATATTTTCACCATCACATTTCCACATACACCCATAACATGACCTTTAAGGTAAACACCCCTCCCTGGCTGTCATTGTGAATATGTCTGAGAGACACAATGAAGGACAAAGAATTATTAATTACTTTAAAAGGGCACTGGAAAAGAGTTTCAACCACCTCTATCCTGTGTTGGCAGGAACTGCAGGCGACTTCAACAACTTAACATTTAGGATGCTGTACTTCACAATCAGTGACGCCACTTTGTTGATTGTTCACACTCTAGAAATGTTACCATGAGGTGTTTCATAGAAATAATTGCTATAAATGTGCAGCATATGGAACACTGTATATTCACTTTTTTAAGCAAGATTGCACATAATATGGATTCTACAAAAAACAAACAAACACCCAAACAAAAAAAAACCAAACAGACTTGATTCACCAGCTTCATTAGCTGATAGAGTGAAATATACCATGACCTCGATGGTACTGACTGAGATAGAAGTCAGTGTAGGCTATGCAGAAATTGTCCCTGTGTATGTTTCACTCGGGTTCAGAAATCTAGGTTCCTCGTTAGTGTGGGCAGCCCTGACAAAAAATGGTGAAAAATGGTGCAAATCATGTATTGCATATCAATTTTTGCTAAGATTTAATTTGTAACATGGAATTAGGTTGTAACCATGTTGTCCTTGTTGCCTGTGTAGAGGGACCAAGATTAGTTAGAAAAGTTAGTAAAAAAAAGCAGTAACCCTGCTAATAAGTAACGTCACTGGAAACAGCAATAAATGTGAGGAGCATGTGAATGCAGCATAAGAAATATTCAGTATTATGAAATAAAAAAAAAGCAACGATTAGAAAAAGAAATATATTAAAAAACAGAATTTTTGTAGCAGATTTTTGTTTTTCGAACCTTATTAATAATCCTGCGACCCTTTAGGTTCATCTGGTCCCACTTTTATTTTTTTTGGAAACACCTTCTGAGAATTATGACTTACAAACAACATCAGCCATTTGGAACAAGCCAGTGGGGCATAAAGCCATTCATAATCTGCTTCCACAAGACTCCAAGGCTGGTGGTTGGAAGCTTTGACAACACTCAGTCAGCCATAGCTCTGCCAGTGGGGAATTCAACTAAGATCAATGAATATCTACAACACTTTCATATTGCTAGTCCATTGTTTCCTTAATGTCAGTGATATCAGACTTCAAAGACAAGGCTCTTCACAAGGAAGATGAAGTAGGTGAACCCCCCTGTTACTAGCGGTAGCAGGAAAATCCTTTTAATACACCTTTCTCACAGCTTTTGATTAAAAGGTTCAAGACAGGCAGGGAAATAAATAAATAAAGCAGGGTAATGTTGTATTCACAAAGACAAGGCAGGACTTTGATCTTGCTCAGGGACGAGGAGTAAGCTTGGAGCCAGAGACAGAGAGTGTGTGTTTGTGTGCACTTAAGTATATACGTATGCATGTGTGTGTGTGGGTGTGTGTGTGTGTGTGTGTGTGTATGTGTGTGTCTCACGGCAAAGGCGAGGTAGGGTAGAAAATGCGAATGAAAGGGAGAGATCTCATTAATATGAGTCCTTTTGTTCCACTGCAACTTGGAGCACACAGAAAAAGCTAACAGCAAAACATTCCCACCCTGTTGAGGCGACATTGTGGAAAACTTTGCTATGAGTATTTCCTCAGAAAAATTCCTACTCAGCACTTTTGGCCTCATGAATTAATGTTAGCTTGCAGGTACTGTACACCACCTGCATGTGTATAACATAGCGGATGCCTGAGTCTGCTTTGTGATACTTGACAGACTGGAGCGAAATCAAGTAAGGAGGGAAAAAATGAAAACTTTGATCCACTTGAAAGTGTAGTCTATCAGGACTAATGCTCGGTTGATAATGCATACAGCGCCCCCGTACAGCTGCCAACCACAGTGGAGCATTTGAAGTAATCTGATAAAGCCTAAGAGGACTGACTGCCAGTGCACTCTGCTCTGTCGATGAGGAAAGTAATCCCATTTTCTGCTGTTTCACTGTCATATGCTCTTCCACCTATCTGATCTTCTTCTAGCTGACAAGAGCAGCCTCACAACCTCAGGGCCATAAAAGCAGTGAATATAGAGCGGCAGCAGCGAACACCATGCTGTGTGTGTTTCTCACTGGGACAGATAAACACCATTGTTTTGTGTTGGTTTCATCTATCAATTCATCAACGCCAGCAAGTGATACCAAGACGAAAACCAGCATGAAAACACTGAAAGATTCTGTTGTCATGAGCTGCATCTTACTGTGCTTGTGTCAGCAAATATACAGGTGACGCTGTGTTTCGACCTCTTCACTGTAGCAGCCATCGGTTCTCTGCAGAAAACAGCTTTACAACAGAGTCCAATGAAGCGAAGAAATACGAGCCTCTGCAGACCTGTAAATAGTGAAACCTAAACTTAATTAGGAATGCAATTGTTTGGAGGATGAACATAAAACCTTGTAGCCCAATAACCGAGATATGACTGCCTTTTTCACTGTTACTACTCCTGCTCATCAGTGTTAGTTTACAGGTGGACAAGAGACAGGACATGGATAGCTCAACTGAAAGGTCCAACAAAAATGTCCAACTGTGTTTCTATGAAGTCCCTAAAATAATGGTGGCAAGTAGAAACTTTGGCTGAGCAATGGATAAACTGTCCAAAAATAAAGGATGTGAAGATGATATGTTAAACTCTACCTGCACTGAGCATACACACAGTCGATTTGTTAAAGAATATGTGAGCATAATATCAACTGAAATATACCGGCCTGTCTATAAGAAAGGGCCTTAAGATTAGTTAAAACTGCAAGAGAAACCTCAACCTCAGTTTTTATTAATCAAATTACAACAAAGTATTTGGCAGCAACTAGAATCTTTTGGCTTCGGAGGATCTTGGGACATAAAAAATTATGTTAGAGGTAATTTTTCACTCTTACTTGTCACAGAGACAGTCATGAAAGAAAGAAAGAAAGAAAGAAAGAAAGAAAGAAAGAAAGAAAGAAAGAAAGAAAGAAAGAAAGAAACCCATAGCTCTAGTTAATCATAAACAAGTTGCCATTCTGCCGCTCTAGGGAAGGAGTTTGGGTGGAGTACCCCACTTTATTGATTTTAATTCCATTAATACCTTATGACTTGCTGCTTGGCAGACTCTCCCAGGCCAGAGCCCATGCACGTCTGTTTTCATAGTGGATTTGACTGGGCTCCCTTATCGGCTGGCAGCAGGCAGGAAAAGAACCTGGAGACGGCCAACGATCCACCGCCCTGGCAGCCAGGCTGCATCTCTGAAACAACAAGCTCCAGATCAAGTATGATTAATGGAGGCAGCTCCAACGCAACTGTTCTGTGTATGAGCATTGCACTGTGTATGAGATCACTTCTGTGTGTCTTTGTGTGTGTGTGTGTGTGTGTGTGTCTGAGAGAGTGTGTGTGTGTGTGTGTGTGTGTGTGTGTAGCTATGTGAGGGAGGGGTACTCCTGACTTTCCTGGCACCTGCTGCATGCACATCAATCCACTTCACTCCCAGCAATCAACAGATGCATATGAATGAATGTTATCAGCTATACTATTACGTATGTGCATGAATGAATTTTCCAACACTCAGATCCTTCCAGCAGCGACCGAATATATTAACGCTTTCCCTCTGTGCGTAAATGCATTGCGCGCCATATGTCTGCCATTTTAAACTTTACATTAACATTAGGCTTTTTTTTTGTCAGATCCAGGATCAGAGTAAGTGAGATGCCGCCATCAGTGACAGTCATGCTCTCGCGCAGCGTCCTTGCCAGTTCGCACTGGCTCCACCAGTGTTGCCTGGTTTTCTGGTTGCGTGGAAACTAAAAAAAGGCAGCACTGAGCGAGCCCTGAAGTGTAGGAGCATTTTCCAGTGGCGCGTCGCGGTTGCCGGAGCGTCTCTCGGCGCAAGTTGAACGAGCTGCAAGAAGACCAGATGGAAGCGAACCAAAATATTGACCGAATCGGTGTGCGTGGAGCGCTCTGATCTGCTGGAGCGTTTAATGTGAGCAGTTGCTGAGAAACACACCATGAAAAGGAGAGGAAAAGCGGCAAAGACGTGAGTGTGTGTGTGCTACTGACCAAAACGCGTATGTTTTCCTTGTGATATTGAACGCATCTGCTAATTTTTTTAATCCATAAATAGAGCGACTGTTTGCTGTTTTTCCAGTATTAATGAGGGTTTTCTAAACGTGATTGGTGATGAAAACAAGTACAGCATGGCGCTGACTAAAACAGGATGAGAGACAAACTTAACAAGGGTGTCAGCTCCCACAGGAGTCGTCCTTATCTCCTCTCTTTTGAGTTCATTTCATATCAGATGCTTGTTGCTTATGAGTAGAATTTAAATTGCAGCAGAACCTGATACTTAACCCACTGTTGAGCTTCAGTTTTGCCTCTTAAATGTGCTGAGCTTGTGTTGTGATTAATTTAATTTGAAGTTTGAAACTAATTGGATCTGAACCAATTTAGTGCAAGTGTAATGGCAGTGTTTTGCTCTAAGGAACAAAAAGAGCATCTCTAGGAATTGAGACTGACACTGAGTAAGGGATCGGGGAGAGGAGGATGGAGCTAAAAGCACTGAAACATGATTATAGTAGCATTAAAAGTCTGAGTTTCAAGTTCAAGATGACAAGGATGTTTTATTTTCCCTCCCATGTCATCCATACCTGCCAGTGATAATTAGAAACCAGCAGCTTATTTACCATTCATGCATTGCTTTGAGCTGTGATGTGATGCCATGCAAAGGTCAGATTCCCACATGAAAAACATTATAGCACAAAAACATATTAACATAATAAATTTGTGCTGCATTTTAATGCCGCTGGTGTTTGGGTTCGAGTCCAAATTACCGCTCCTCATACAACTGGTGCCAGAGACCTGTCAGCATAGCAGTGACAGCGGCGAATTTATGAAGTGAGACTGATGTTTGGCCTCACGAGCACTGTATTTATTGTGTATATTAAAAGCAGAGGAGTTATTTATCACAGGAGTGACTTTAGGAACACTAAGGAAGACCTCACCTGATTTAGAGGCCGTGGATTTATTGCGTTCACACTATATGGCTCTGAGAGGAGTTATGCTTGTTTTAAAGGGTATGGAGTGTTTAAAATATGAATATTTTTTATGTTTTGAAATCTGAATCTGAATTACTCTGGTGCCCCACCCTGCTTCTCATTAGGTTCACACCTCCCCTCTCTATGTGTGTAACTCATCTGCAGGCAACACTTGTTTCCTTCCTCTCCCTTTTATTCCTTCACGGCCAGCTGTCTCCATGAGCCATCCCTGTGCCTTACTAACATTTGCCCCTTTCCTCGATATCTCATTAGTGTCACACACTGTTCTCTGTGTTGTAATTGTAATGTTACCCCTCGTCTCCGTAAATCCTCTTGATATCATTCTTTCGCTCACAACCCTGTGCTTGTGTGTCCAATTTCCCTTCTTGCCCACATGCTTTCTCCTCCTCTGTCACCAACCTTCTACTTCTTCCCCCACCATTATCTCTCGCTAAAATACTAGGCTGGCACGCCATGTGACAGGAAAAGTACAGCCTTTGCAGGAGCAGAATGTCACCAATTTACTTGAAGCAAGACCTTTTATTTCCTTGGGTGTTAAACTGCATCTGTCATGCTATTTCACTTTCTCATACACCCTGTTGACACTGCGCTCAGAGGGAAATCCTTTGGAAGTCTGGCCTTGAAGATGAATGTATAAACATCTCATGTCTGAGGGAGGCAAACTACAGCAGTCACAGCTTAATAGCACAAGCTTCATCTGTGCTTTGCGCTTGTGCATCAGACTCCAAGCCCCCCCAATGGCTCATTATTGGGATTGTCTGGCAGGCATCTCTTAAACTGGCGTAACACAATGAGTGTTATTAGCTGTGTCTCGTAGACAAATCATCTGTCCCCCTCACACACACATACACACCACTATTGCCACTACACTCTGTCCTCTACCCCCCAACGTCATGTGATACTTAGAGGTACTTAGAGATCGATTTCATTTTTTAATCTTGGTAAGCGGATCTTGGCCAGTCTCCAGCCATTTTGAAAAAAAATAAGAAGTCTGGTTGAACTATGTGGTTCCTTCTTGTCTCAAAGAATACAGGCCATCACATTGTCTGTTTTGTTGGCCTTGGCGCTGTTTATAGCATTAGCATTTACCCCAAACAAAAGGATTGGGTGGCCAACACTGATGCTACACTGACTTAAGGAGTTTTTCCTTAAGAGGATTAGTAACAGGATAGGAGGTAGCACTGATCAGCTATTAATGAAGTGTGTTAGGGTGGGTAGACCTGCCATTTTCAAAGGCTTACACACAAAATATAAAGTGTAATTTACAGGACACACAGACAAGCTTTTCCCTCTGTGTTACTCAAACTTTTGAGTAAATGACCTTATGGACTAGCAACTGCAGAGCTTGACAGATACTCAGTAATAATGGTCACATCAGAATGTCTGCTACCGTTTTAGGAAGCAATGGAAACATGATATATACAACTCCATTAAATATATTGCTGGTTTTATTATTTGTTCGGAACAGTTTGTTCCTTACGGTGTCACATCACTATGTTAATGCCAGTCTCTGTGCACAGAAATAGCCCTGCACTGCAGGGATGTCAATTATAAAAGAGGCACAGTGACACCAAAGGATTTTCTTAGCTTGTTTATTGTGCTGGTATGAAGGAAATGTTTGATCCCCAGACTTTCTTGGAAATAGAACAGTAGTGCAGTTGTTTCTGGCCACGACATACTAAAATGAGCATGCAGCATTCCCGCTGCCTCCTCGCTGCAATTAGACAAGCTACTGCACCCCCCCCCCCCTTCTATGTTGAATAACAGTGTGGCCTCTGAAGAAGATTGTTAATTACCCATGGTCTCTATGGCAAAAGTGTTTCACAGTACAATCTGTGATTCTCTTTTTTCAAAGGGTTGTCTTCCCAGCATTGCTAATGTGACTTTCTGCTTTTTTAATGTCATAGGCTCAACAGCTACTGGGGAGGTTGACGTGGACTTCACCCCATGCACCCAGGTGGTCCTTCCTGGAGCATGCTCGTGTCCCACAATGTCCCTACTTGCAGACTGGCTACTGCGCCACTCAGTGGTCATGTGTTTGCTGCTGCACAGCCTGGTGCTAATGACCTTCTGCTTCCACCATGCTGCCACCAGTTGCTCCAAGAGCTGCTACTGCTCTGAGAGTGAGAGCGGCGGCAAGACAGTGCGCTGCAGCAATCTGCAGCTCACAGAGATCCCCCAGGATATCCCCAATGACACACAACGCATCTACCTGGACTTCAACCTCTTCACTACAGTCCCCACGAATGCTTTTGCAGGTTTGCCCCACTTGGTTGAACTGGATCTATCACACAATGAATTAAGCCAGCTAGAAGCAGGGGCGTTCCGAGGCCTGGGCCCCTCACTACAGTTCCTGGACCTTTCTTCTAATAAGTTAGTAAATTTTAACCCTGAGGCCTTCGAGGGCCTGCGGGCTCGCGCCAATCTAACAAACAATCCATGGCACTGTGACTGCAACTTACAGATGGCTTTGCCTCGTGTGGACCTGGAGCCTGCGTCACTGACGGGCATTGTGTGCCAGACTTCAGATCCCGAGGAAATAGGAGTTCAAGGACTTGCCTTCCTTTTGGAACCAGACATAGACCTTTGTGTGGTGATGAAGAGGACTACAGATGTGGCCATGCTGGTCGTCATGTTCGGCTGGTTCACCATGGTCATCTCCTACCTGGTCTACTATGTCAGGGCTAACCAAGAGGACGCCCGCAGACATCTGGAGTATCTCAAGTCGTTGCCCAGCAGACAGGGCAAGTCGGAGGAGTCTTCCACCATTAGTACTGTGGTATAGGGCTGATGGAGCTACACACGGGACCTGAAGTTGTAACCTACACCAAGCAGGATGCAGCTACAACCTGCCACTACACAATCATCATCAGTCTCAGACAGTTTTGCCCTGATGTTGTCACAGAGTCAAGGTGGTCAACCAGACATATGCTGGCATTAGAAAACCAGGCCGATGCAACCTAGCGCGGATGAATAATTCATCTTTCGGCGGTCCATTAGGAGTTTTTGTCGGCTGAGTTGATGGTCTAGTCTGCGCGGTAAGGGAATAAAAGCAGCGGTGTGTTTTTGGTGAACTCCAAATATGGGATACAAATGGGATTTATCCAGTGGTGCATGCACCTTGATGCACCTCTTTAACGTAGCCTACAGATAATCCAGGAGGCAACGTCAAACAGCAACATGAATAGTGGGTAAAGGCAACACTAGAACGTGGAACTTTGTGTATTGTTTTCCATTCAAATCCTTACAATATCCACCAGTATATAACAAGTAAAATTACGTTTTCCATTTAAATTGTTGTTTTGAGTTTTTTTTCTCACTGAACTCACTCAACTGTATCACAGAAAAGAAAAAAAAATAACATATCTACAGTATTTAGAATTTGGATCACTCCACTTTTTGGCAAATGCATATTCAGCTCATTGTGCTGATGCATCAAAGGACTTATTAGTTATTCTGTGAGGTGTTTGATAGTAGCTACTGTACCAGAGCTCCATACTGATGAGAACAACAGACCTCCAAACTGCCTCTGTATGTTAAGACTATTTGACAGGAAACCTGTGGCTATAGCTCACCTTCATAACCAGTCGCAGCCCTGAATGATTTATGTAACTCATCAGTACTCTACACTGCACGTAAAGAGACTACCCTTTACTTTTAATTTGCCAGTTTGATGTGTCCATGTCATCCCATTAAAAGTTAAAGTGTCAAATGCAGCGCCATAGAAACCTGTAGCTTTGTGAAGAGGAAACAGTCCAAAACTCATTGTCACCCAAGGGTGATAGAGGATTTGAAGAGTCCTGTTATCTACCTGATGGAGGTAAACGTTGCAAAGGTATTGTATTCAATATTGGTATTGCATTCAATTCCTGATACCGGCAACACACTGCAGCTCTGGAATTACTCCTTAGCATAATGCTAATATTGATATGCTAATCTTTAGTCACAAGCCAGTAACCCAGTACGCAATATCATCTAATTGTCCGAAAAATTTGATTTGAGTAGCAGGTAATTAGAGCTTACTGCAGTTCAATTGACACGACATAAAAAGAGAGAGGGAGAGAGACTTCTAATCAAAACAGGGACAATTTGTTCATATTCTGGTAGGAAAAGCCCTTCAGCAAACATTCATTACTGTCACCTCTTCACGCAGAGTAATTAAGGGAACCTTCATGATCATACTCGGTTATCTAGAGAGAACCTCTGTCTCTGCGCTTTTCATTCCCTCTCATGTCTTTAATAAGCGCCTGAGGCGCTTTTTGGAGACATATTGTCTGATGCAGTCACTCCCATGAGTTTTCCAAATGACATTTATGGGGCCATGACCTGTTGGTCCATTTAAAAGAGCTGCCATAGATGTGAATCTCCTATTTCACCAGACAATGGCAAAGATCAAGATGAATTTATGTCTTTTCTGAGGAAATCATCGATACAAAGAAAAAGGGAAATGTATTTGAGTGGAGACGTAATTCAATCCACACCAGACTACAGTCTAAGCTGTGCTCCAAGGTAAGAATAACCCAGTGCAGCCTTCAATAATGAAATTTTGATGTTTAAGATGTGGCAAATGGTTTGTCAACAAGGATTTCCCTCTGTCAGACACACAAATGCCTCTAGAGCAGAGCAAGACCAATAAATGATTAATGATGGCCATGAAAAACACTTGAGCAGAAAGACCCATCATCTTGTATGACCCACTTCTTGAGGAGAAATTAAGGGAGAATGCCACAGGGGATCAGCTGCCCTCCTCTCTGCTGCCTGACTTACCCTCGCCCGGGTAAAGCACTCTCCAGATGCCCTTTGGCTGCTCAGTGAGGGTCCAGAGGACTCACAGTGTCAGCCAAAGTCAGTTCCACCTCATCCTCAAACTGCCTCTTTCCCAAAGGCAGCACTTAGTCTTTGAAGGAATAGATTCGGCATTTTGGGATATATATATATATACGCTTATTCACATTCGTGCTGAGGGTTAAATGAGAAAATGAACACTACTCTCAGGTCTATACGGTAAATAGGTAGCTGGAGCAGTTAGCTTAAGTTTTCCTGCTCCATAGTTTCTATTAACGGAGTGAGTTTGTTTTACAGAAAACAATGATATTGATCTTGACAGAGTTAATCTTAAGGAAGCCCTGGTACAGCCTCCTGTGACGAGCAGGAGGTTCAACAGTACTGAAAAATAGATGGTAAGCCTCTCTCTCTGACATTTCCTACCACACACACACACACACACACATACAAATACACACACACATATACACATACACAGCTCCCTGATAACAGAGTCTCACGGTGGCTTTGAAATCAGTCACTGTTAAGGAAGCCTCACCACTTGAGGCGATAAACATAAAGCCAGTAACAGACGTTCGTGTGTGTGTGTGTGTGTGTGTGTGTCTCTCAGCTAATGTATGTGAGTGCGCACATTCTTTTGTTCACCTGTATGTACGACAGGTGTGTGTGCATGCCGGGAGTGAGGGTACTGGTAATGTAACACCTCTGTTCCCCGGCACACATAGATGTCGCTGAGGTTAATTTAAATTTCAGGCCAGATCAGCTTGCCCCGCCTGCTACCTTAGACACGTTACACTGGTGTGAGCATTACAACTGCTGGGTAATGGGACACAAAGTGGGGGATAAGGTGACGCATCCAATCCCACAGAGCGCAGCCCTGTTTGGGATTGGGTTGCAGGTGAAAATGTTTCCAAGCTCTGAGATCACATGGGGTCTCCCAGCAAGGGCCCGTGTGGGCGCCTGTCAATTTCCTCCTTTAGCCTAAAAACACCAGAGATGCTGCATCTGCGGAAAGTGACGAGGACTTCCTCTGGGTGAGTATCAATATTCTGAGATGGTCTATTTTTTTTTTTGTTGGTGTCCCCCAGGGGCTGATCCAGAGACGAAAGACAGAGAGTCACTGCTGTCTGAGGAGAAGAGACTGTGTCAAGATCCCACACTCAATTTGTGTTACACAGCTCCCTCTGTTGTGGTAAGTGTGTAAGTGTGAGTAAAATAAATGTCTTTACCTTTCACGTTTTCACATTAACATTAGCTTTTGTACATGTAAGAAATGTACATTTGATACAAAACACAAAAACACAGTGGTGGTAAAGTATCAGAGGTATTAAACATTATTAGATATTATTAGATAAAATTAGGTGACAATGCAGAAACCCCTTACCATTGCCAAGTGCGCTTACCATTTCAGTTTTGCTGATATAACAAAATTGCAAATAGGCAAATTACCAGTAAGTAATTGCCACACCAACAATCTGAGGCCTTTCGGGCCTCTGACAATGTGGGGCCCCCGGGAAGTTGCCCACTTTGCCGCGTTGGTGATCCAACCCTGGGTGAGCATGCTGATCCACACAACAGTACATTTAGTGAATGTGAAGAAGGAGCAGAGGAGAAGGATGAGATTACATCTGCCCTTATATTGGTATCATAATACAATATGTGGCATCCTATGATATCAGGTCAAGATGTCAAACACTTGTACTATTACTAGCTATTACACTGTAAATGGGTATTATAATAGTGCAATTGTACAGGAGGTGAATAGTCTATTAATGTGATTTAGTGTTATATATTATATACAGTATGTCTGTATAAATTGTATATGTGTCTAGTACTTGGATATTTATGTTCAAAACTGCCATATGGATGCAGGTTTTTTTTTTGTTATTTTATTCTACATTTTTTCACTCTACATTCAGAGATGTAACCTTCTAATTAGTCTGATATAAATTCAGATAAATTCAGGGTAGCTCAATATTCTTTCTGGATATCTTCTCAGATGTATTATTTTTTGTGATATCTATAAAGGCCAACTGGAAACACAAAGAATGCGTGGTTGGTTTCCTGTTAAATTTCTGCTCTGGTGTAAATCACCCTCAAAAGAAGGAAATACAGAATTTGTACGGATAAGTTAAATTAAGCTGATAAAAGTGTTTTGTATATCTGAGTCAGATTTTTGGGAACGAAAGGTCATGTCATCATCATTTTGTTGTGAAATAATTTCCTGAGAAATGCCCATTCCTGTCCAAACCTCCTTCCTCTGAGGAAGAACATAGTCCTCATTTCATTTCACCCGGTTTCAACACAGATGCTTCTGACTAGGCCCAGTGCATTCCAGCTAAAACACATTTCCTAATTCCTTAGTTCCATAATTTCCTGTGAGACAGAACAGCCGAGCATCGCACTCTAACTCCATGTGAAATCTCATGACACAATCTGCCGTTAAAACCTGGTTTCAAAAGAGGTTTAAACTGGTGGATTACCGGTATCAGTCTCACCACGTAAACACGACATTATGTTCTTGGATCTGAAACCCAAGAACAAAAATCTGTGTTATGTCAAACTTCCCAGATTTTGCAAAATTGGGGAAAACTCGCAGTTTGTGATATACGATCTGGTGGAAATCTGTCGGGAGAATCCAGCATTTGTCAAGTGAGAACACATGTAGTATTTTACAAGGCAAATGTACCATTTTTAAGTTTTCCCAAAATCCAGGATTAACCCTAGAACCTATTTCCTTTGTTTAACATGTTAAATATTTTATCTCCATCTTTGGACTCTCTAACTCCAGGTCCTTTAATGGCTTCCTCAGTAAATGAGAGAATTAAGAGGTGAGTGCTGGATGGGAAAACCTCTTTCTGTTTTCATTGTAGGTTCTCTCCTTTCCTTCCATCTTAAACCTAAATACCCTACTTTAAATTCCTGTTAATACCGAAAGGCTTTCCCCAGCTACAGATAGCCTACATCGAATTAAATCTATTCATGCACCATGGACCTTTTCACTTGCTGCAATGACAGCATTGTAGCAAGCAGATACAAAGGTGACACTGTGTTATACAGTAGGCTACATCAAATAAACCATGTGGTTGGTGTCCAACTGGGTCATTGACGGGGCCGTAGAGCGAGGCCTCAGCATTGAATAATGCCCTCCTTTCATGTGCAGGACTGATTGGAGATCAGACCAGTGTGGATTTCAGGGATCAGATTTGACAGCTTCACTTCACAGCCTATCAAGCATGGCCAGATGTAACATAGCTACACTGACTGATCAAGGGGCCTCGCGTCAGAGCATGAAGCAAACCGATCTGCTACAATGGAGGCACATGATTGACCTATGAGGTGATTACATAATGGTATATGTTTGGAGCTTCACTTTTGAAATGAGGATCTAACGGACTGGCATCAGTGGTATCAATCTACTTGCTGGAGTCTAGGTAAGAAAGTGAATTTATTTCCCATGATGTCAAACTATTCCTTTATGGCATTAAAAAATTTACCGAAAAACCCAACTGAAAACTTTCAACTTTGAGATTTTGTGAATGAAATGAAAGCAGCTCCCTTCAGAGTGAAACCACACAGCTGTGGTTTATTCTGTAAGTCATACATACAGGAATTCCACCAGGTGGCACTCTTGTATCTGCAAAGCATTGAGGCAATGTACCTGTAAAGTCTGATGAACACACCAACCCTGAATCAACCTGTGTAGACCAGGACACTCCAGATAAGACACACTTTGGATCTTTCTAATTGCTGCAACAGCAGCACCAATTGGAAAATCAATCTAAATGTCATAATAGTCCAGGGCAACACAGCTGTGTGTAACTGACTGCATCCCAGGGAATCGTCTGCTCTCCCATTTCATTATTTATCACAAATATTTCTGTTCTATATGTGTCAAATTTTCTTATCTATTGACAAAAAAATTTAAAAACCACAAGACATTCAGCACAGAAGCAACTCATGATGGCCCCAAATCACTCAGGATGACCACAGAGATCATAAGATGAGAAAAGTTTCCTCCCTAAAAAAACCTGGATTGCCACAAAAAAAGAAAGGATTTCCATTAAACACTTAAATACTTTCAATTTCGTGTAACTGCAGGCAAAGGAAACGCCTGTTCCTCTTGCTCTCTTTGTATATGATTTGGAGCGACTCATTCTTGAACTTCTAGCTGAATTACATCAACATAAATATCAGTAATTAAACAATTTCAGTTCCCAAAATGAATTCTTGAATTGTGTTATTCTGGAGGCTTACGCTGAAGATTGTATTGCAAAGTAAAACTAGACAGTTACGTCCTCTCTAATCTACTTTTACCATTTTTATTCATTTTTTTGTAATTTTATTCTGCTGATATATTTTTCTTTTCACTCATTTAATTTTTTTTTATTTGAATTTTTTTTAAATAAATTTTTAATAAGGAGTCTTTGATTTGTTATTTATTACTACATTGACCCAAACTGTTAAATTAATGAACAAATCCAAATCCAATATCATGCCTGGATCAAACTCAATATGTCCTCTTTATTGGTTTAACAATTTAGATCCAAATAAATTGGATGTCTTAAAAAAAAAAAAAAAAAAAAAAAAAAAAAAAAAAAAAAAAAAAAAAAGGCCTTTCAATTTAAATGTGTGATTTTTCATGGAAATATCCTGTCACTCATAATGAGACTAATTCACATGAACAAATGATGGGAAATCCCTCTACAACTTGGTGCTATGTATATATATGACTTTAAGTGAACTATAAATCATGAATGGTGCTCACTTGAGGTCAAGACTTTAAGACATTCACCAACTGAGCCATGAACCTCATGATTGGTGAGTAGTGAGGTAATGCTTGTAAAATGCTGCTTTCTTCCCTTTGGCTGTTGAACTCCAGAGACTCCTCAGAGACAGCACAGACTAAGAGGAAGAAGCTTCAAGAAAATACGGAGGTGGTGTTGATGGTATTTTAAATCATCAGGAAGCTATTTTAAAGAATAGATTACAAGTTTAAATCTTTTTTTTCATTTTTTTACATCAGCTCAAAGTGTCATACATGCTATGTTTAACTACAGCAGTTACTTTTAGGTTTCACATTACAGTGACTATTCTCAACTCATGCAGTTATCTAGCCTGAAGGGGGGCATGTCCAATGCTGCAGCACAGGGGATCAGCTGAGGAGAGAGCTAGGCTTTGTTCTGCCTGTCCTCTGCCTCTCTCTCTCTCTCTCTCAAACGCACACACACGCATTGTACCGGGGGACTGTTTAGATGCCACGGCGCTAACGTTTTGATTTTTCTCCCCTTGCAGTTATCGCCATTTCCTCCTACATGGCCACCGTTGCTCGCAGCGCACCTCTGCCGGAGGGGAGCGCACTTGTTGAGGATCCGCAATTCCAGGAGATGGTACAGAGGAGCCGCGGCTTAGTAGAGAAGATCCTGCTCTCCATTCCGGACACGCACAAATCGTGCATTCACACAGAGGTGAGATACAGCAGATGTGTGCTGGTGTTGATGTTAATTGTTTGTTGTTGATGAAACGTGCTTCAGGCAGAGCTTCAAGGCTGCTGCGCGGTTAAACTGCAGGTCTGCGACTGCTGTGAATGAGCCCATAAAACGGCTTCTGCATTACTGCGCCTGTTATGCCTCCGTTAACAGGTTTTCCGAAAGGCTGTTTTATGAGTGCGGTCTGAAATGCGTCCGTTTATTAGCTGTGCAGCAGTCAGTCACTTTGCATATTCGAAAAGTTAGACACAAACGTGATTATTATCGTTCGGCAGCCGCAGTAGTCGCAGTGCTTCTTGGAGCTGCTGTGCGGGACCAGTGGACTGCTTAAAGGGTCCAGCATTAATCTCTTACGTCTGTGGATTTTCAATCAATCTTTGCATGCCTGTATGCTTTTTTTCCACTGTGGTCGAAAATTGCCTTTATGTACTTATTACCCATATACCCTACGTCATGTGCTTCAGTACAATTTTGGATACTCGTTCATCACTGGAGTGTGTCCATTTAATGCCTCATTATACCTGTGTACTACATTGCATTCATTTAACATTAAGTTACAAATGAGACATACAAAACCTTTAATGATGAAATATGCTGCATCATCATAGACGATTATAGAACATAATAATATATCACTGACAAGGAACATTCTCCATAGTGAAGACTTTAACCTTTACTTGTGATGGAGTTTCTTTACATGGTGGTATTAGTACTTACACTTAAGTAAAGAATCTGAGGACTTCTGCCACCAGGTTTTTCATGATGGATTTAGAACTTTTCAAATGCACTTCAAGCTGTAATCTATCCGTAACATCTTTGTGTTATCTCTCTGCTGCAGACTCTAAAACTGAATTCCTCAGAAAATGCAATGTTTGAGTTAATGGCATTCAGGATCGGCATCCCCTCTGCTCCTGTACTCAGAGTTGTGTCAGAAAACGTCTCTCTGGTAAGCATCTTCAGCGTATTTGAATGTAATGTCGGTTAAAATAAAAAAAAAAGGGACATGTCTCATTTATTTATTTTTTTATCTATTAGCAAACCAGTTTGACACAGATGTCTGAGGGTCTTCAGCTGCACCGTGCCTTACTGAGCTCTGTATCTGAACGGCTGGAAAACAGAAACAAAGTGACTGATCTAATGGCTGACATCAGAGACCTCACCATTCAGATCAATAAGGTAGGAGAATGTCTCCCAATCACTGATTGTCCTGACAAACATTTTGCACTTTTAGCACCTTTGTGATGCCTTTTCCCATTTGTTGCAGATGCTGAAAATGGTCCAGAAAGAGGCTGTGGTGCAGCCCACCCCAACCCCTATGGCTTTACGTCTACTAGGGGAATATGACGTGCAGGTGGCAGCACACCTGACTCTGGTCCAGCTCCAGGCCTTTGGGCAGGACACAGTCCGCTGCCTCAGGAGTCTGGACCAGAGCAATGAAGAGGAGACAGAAAGCTGACTAATAGATGCCATACTCTAATTAACTAATTTTGGCTTATGTCCAAAACTTACCATATCCTGCCATTTTTTATCATGGCATTTAATATTTATCAGTTAAGACATTATTTATTATATTTTCATTTATTTATTTATTTATCTATTAAATTTGAATATTTAATATTTATTTAGGAAATTTATTTTTGATAACAAAGCTTTGTATTCATCAGTCTTTTTGTTGACAGCTGAGGCAACTTCTGTTTTAACTCAGGCCTGCTGGCTTCTACTGAAAGTACTTTACCTGTTTACATTACATACACATTACAATAACTGAAAATGAAATTCTCAACTCTCATACAAAATCAGAAGTTATTCAATAGTCTAAAAACGATATTTACAATTGCTCTACACAGCAGAGTTTAATAACAGTAATGTATAAGAAATCAGCAAGTTTAGAGACATTTATGAACTTTATCAACTATCAAAACTTAATTTAGGGGATTTTATGAAGTGATCATATTTTCTGTAAACATTTTTACATGTAACTAATTATTTTTTGGATGAAACTTATTTTAAAAATTGTTTTATTTTCTGATCTTTCAATAAAAAAAACAAACATTGTGAAGAGGGATTGTTCCTTATTGTCAATGACTATCCTTACTGACACGAGGCACTGGGTCATGCTGATGCATACCGTCTCATGAATGAAATTAGACTTAAAATTCCAGTTAAGACAATATTGTAATAGGGAAGTGCAACTAAAAGTGAAATAGATACTTCTGTGTCATTAATTTTGCCACACTGCCAGCCAGACTGATTTCCTTGAGGAAGTGTTGCAAGTGCTCAGTGAGTGTCTGAAGACCATGAGCTTTTGTCAGTCACTCCCTTTTACGTCGTGTCATGTGATAACCTCCCTAGCATGTGACCAATCAACTGACTGGTTTGTGATCACAGTGGTCAGGTCTCATGTTACTGTAATCTCTAAAGGTGATGTAATCTTAATATGATCTGATAAATAATCACACAACAAATGAAACTCACTTTGAGTGAGTAAATACTGGCAAGTAGAAACAGACACAACAAACTCGATTCTGTGTTTTTAGTCTAAATCTTATTTACACATTTCTTCAAGTGTGAAAAGGAACATAAAAAAACTGTAGAAAAACAGTGTTTACAGATACATGGCTAAAGACATGTTATTTTCCAACAAAGAGAGTCCCTTCATAAGGATGATCCTGGCAGGTATAGAACAACTAAATATTAAGTTGTATATTTACCTTTCTGCTGTACTTTACCCACTGAGACAGTACTGGGCCAACTTGATTTTAATTTGGTACTGGTATAAATTTAAACCTACAGTTTACAAGGCAGATATGGCTTTGGCAGCTACTCTCCTCCCCAGCGGCAGAGTCAGGTCAGTGATGGCCAGGACAACTTTAGGTTTGGCCAGAGCAGGCAGCTTCACCAGCTCAGAAACCTGGATGCACAAAAAGAGCAGTAACCATTAGTTTCCAGCTTTAGAGTGGCTGAGGAAACACTGACTGTTGCTCAAGACATGACGAAATCTAGTCTGGCTTCATTAGAGGTCAAGTTTTCACCCTTGATCTAGTTTTTGGGGTATCTTAGTTGTTTGCAGAGACACTATTTAACTATGATCAAAGGCTCCCACAAATCCTTTCAACCTGCAGAACAAACACTTGAACTTAAGGAGGAGGACATCCCAACCCTTTCCAGTAATGTCTGATGAAACAGCCACTCCTCTCTCTCCTTATCACTCCTCTGGCCTCCCCTCCCAGTTTCTTCTTCCCCCAGCTCATAACTCACCATTGTAAAGGGCATGAACTGCAGGATGCTCCCACGACTCCCCTGCTCCAGGCACTCAACGCACTCCTCCATAAAACTCTGTACAAACTGGGTATGAGGTCCAGCCATCTTGGAGCCCACGATGGAGGAAATGAGGAGGAAGAGGTTGGCTGGGGAGAAGAGAACAGGTTTTATGCATTGTCATGGTTGAAGGAATTACACACGTTTTATTTGGTTCATGTCATTTTCCTGAGGTGATGGGCAGTTACCGCCAAGATTTGTAGCTAGAATCTAGAAGAACCATCTTTCTGTATTTTTTTCTCTATTTAATTAAATATTACCCAAAACTAATTTTATCTAAGTTTCATTTGGCAAAGAAAAATGCTAACTCATGGAAAGCCTGACGCATAATATCAAGCAATCATAGTTTCACAACTGTAGTTTCTGCAGAATTGTCAGAGTGAAACAGCACAGTAAAAATGTGGGTCAGAAATTTGTGAACTTTCTGATTAATGACCTCTTTGATCAATTCCATTCAAATAAAATAAAACATTATTTTCATGTTTGATGGCCATGCAGAATTTTGCAGAATTAAATTAATTAATTCATTGACCCCTTGTGTCACAAAGGGAGGCATCTGCATTCATTATGTTCACTCACACATTTAGTCAAGCTTTTCTTTTAATTTCCCACTTGTAACTTATTTATCCTTTTTTTTGTTGTTGTTTTAAAGATTATTTTTTTGGCATTTCTGCCTTTATTTGATAGTCTTCATGGAGGATGGGAAGATAGGAAAGCATGGGAGGCTATGACATACAACAAAGGACCACTGCCGGAATCGAACCATGGATGTTACAGTTATGTGGCATGCGCTGAAATCATTCGGCCACCACAACAATCCATGCCTTCTTTATTCTCAAGATGGTGGTAGCAGAGACATACAGAGTAGACACGTGAGGGTTCCTTTCTCTGTGCATGCGTGTGGACATATAACATGGACAAAGTTCTCACCCAGGACTCGGTTCAGAGGGTCCCTCATGTTGACGGTGTGGAGCTGGGAGGCCGAGAGGGAACTGCTCATAGATCTGTCGCCTATGATAGAACGTGACATGAAAAACAGCTGAAGACTTCACAAGTTTTGTTTTCATTGTATGTGATCATTTGATGAAAAAAAAACATACACAAAACAAACAAAAATTCAACAGGGAAGTTGAAGTTATCCATATTGTGCTGGTGGTTGACAAATGTAATCATGTGAAAGTCTAGAAGGCTTCCTTCCACTTTTACATAATCTTCCACTGTTCCTAAAATAACCTCGTTAAACACATTTCAGCAAGATGTAGGGTAGATACTCAAAACAAAAGCCACATTTTCAGAGTAATTTTCTTCGTTTTATTATTATTTTAACAACTATAAATTGAAATCATGACAAGACAGTTTCTAAATCACTGGTCTTTTAAATCGAAAAAGTCAGGCTGATTGACTTTGCGTGGAAAAAAAACTTTTTTAGCATATTTTTTTGGGGGCTTTTTATGCCTTTATTTGATAGTGTAGTAGAGAGAGACAGAAGATTGGGAGGCAGAGAGGGGGAATGACATGTAGCAAAGGCCGTCCGATGCGGGACTCGAGCCGGGGCCAACTGCAGCGAGGACTGTAGCCTCTATACATGGGGCGACGGCTTAGACCACTACGCCACACGACGCCCCCATGGTAGTTTCAATTTTAATGACGCAAAGCAAAGTAGCTAATACATTTTTTCCCCAGGTCATACAACACACATTTTGACGCCCTCTGTGGGGGATTTCTCTATGTAGCTGTAGCTAAAACTGAAGTGGAAATTTCAATAGCTCAATGGTGATGACGAAAGAGTAAATGGAAACCAATAGACTGCAGTACTCAAGTTGAAACGTGCTGACGGGGCAAGATGCTCAACAGATAATTAGGGTTTATTCTTTTCTGATTTAGCTGAAAATGCTTACAAGAAGCAACTTGCTGGTCCATTTCCTTTTGAAAACCATCTGGCATTTTCATAATCCCCAGCTCATACCGAAACACTTACAACTGAACATCTGCAGGTTTTTACAATACAACTGTGTATTAAAAAGCAGACATTACTAGACTGACCTGGACTGGAAAGGGCTACAGGTTCATCCTCATTGGAGCTCAGCAGGCGCATGAGTTTAGAAGGTTGAGTGTCATCCAAGGGAAAGAGGCTGTTGTAGTCCTGTAGATAATAATGTATTATTTTAGACAACAGTGTATTAGAGATCATTAAAATAATACTTGCTTCTAAAACAATAAGTTGCCTTTCTCACAGTTTTACCTCAATATCTTCTCGCTGCCTTTTGCGTTGACGAGCTGAGAACGAGCCTTTGTGGTGAGAGGAGTAAGAGCTGAGTGCACACCACACGGACAGCCTGAGGAGTCATCCGAACAGGAAAGTTAACACCAGATCCCAAAATAAACACAACAAAACCACTGCCAACATCAAAGTATTGAGCTTCTCTTACTTGGCCAGTGCTTTTCCAGGTGGGTCTGCCAGGCTGTGCCAGTGGGCGGAGTCTGTGAGCAGGTTGGGCAGGATGGTACCCAGCAGGGTGAGGGTGATCTGCTGGGTGTCCAGACAGAAGATGCTGTAGAGTAACTCCACCACCCGATTGGCCCATTCCTGTCGAGTCTCCTTCAGCAGCTCCTGAAATAACATGCAGTGCTCCAATTACACACCTCAATAATACTCAATTTAAGGTCCCTTTGCGCCTTTCATCTCATAAGAGTGAGTTTTCATCATCTTAAAAAAGGCACCAAATGGAGTTTGAGACCACTAGTGGTGTGACAGAGTTTTTGATGAGCACCTATCTTTGTGCATCTCACGTGAATGGTTTAATGCTATTCCACTGATCGACAGTTGGTGGTTATGATGTGATGAAGAAATCAACCAATGTGTGAGCAAAAGACATGAAAGAAGATAAGTGCTTGTTGGGTAACTAATGAAGATATAAACAATGCAGGTTTCAAAATATTCAAGAACCAAATCGACTTAAATATTTTATCAGGAAAGAAATGTGTTCAACATACAAAGCTTTTTGGTAGAAAACACACACATATAACCATAACCACATTTGCTTACAGCAGAACTCTACAGGGTATCTAAAAACAAACAAGTCAAGAATTTGTCTATGATAATAATAATAATAATAATAATAATAATAATACAAAAAAATTATGCCAAATCATCCCAGATATCAAAATGTGGCAAAACCCTTGAAAATTTGCACAAATGGTAAAACCCAAAAAATAAAGTAAATGCTAGTTGAAAACGTAGCAGAGCTGAACAAATTAGTGGATTAAATTATTAGCAGATTGACAGAAAATTAAACAGCAACTAATCAACTAAAAGTTTAAGCATTTTTTCAATCAAATAATATCTTGTATTACATTGCAGTAATCTGAATGTTTTGGAATGTTGATTCTTAAAATCTCTATCGGGCCTCAAGCTATCAGCAACTGTACTTCGTCCTCCTACCTTGACCAAATTGTTAGTGAACCAGAAAACTCCTCCCATGTTGAGAAGACTCTCAAACAGATGAAGGGCCCGGCTGTCCACCCAGCCTTTGCGCAGCACCGCCTGGAACTGCTTGCTGAGGGCCTTGTGAATGGGTTCTTTGGCGGGCAGCAGGTTGCGGTAGGGAATCGGCTCCTGGCCCTCCACCGGGGGGCGCAGAGTTGCGGCCGTTTGTTGGAAGACGTCAGCGCACATGTGCTCCATGATGGAGCTCATGATGATCACACTGGTGAGAGTGTGGGGAGAGGATGTAATTGTTAATCTGTGTAATAATGGACAGTGAAGAAGACTGGTTGAACATACTGTCATCTGCATCTGATCACGGGCTTAGCTTGTGAAGTATAAATGTGTGTTTTAGTTGTTTATACCGTTCATTGTAAAACTGCAGAGTGTTCTCCCCATACAGAGGAGTCACAAGTTGTCTTATCATAGTCTGGGGTTTCTCCCGCTCGTCCCTCCCCAGCATCCTGACATGGGCCACCAGCCAGGCCACCGCACAGATGGCCATACTGCACACCTTCCCCTTGATGTTGTCCGTGATCTTCTATACTCAGAGAGAGTTGACAGCAGTGGGAAAAGAGGGAGGACTGTTAGAGCGTGTACCACAAAGGCTTAGTC